TACACAGCCCACTGACCAGGCTGTGATTTGAAGGATCAAGTTACAATTAATATGGTTTAGTGGCTGGATGGTTTCTGAAGGGGTGGTGGCAGAGGCCAAAAGGTGGAAAAAAAGGTTACGATGAGTATGTCCCTGAGCTGTGTACAAGCACAGTCTGGATACAGACAGGTAGTGAAGCTTAATCCTATTATGTGCTGAGTTTTCATCCTGGTAATACATTCCCCCATTTTCCTTTATGAAAAGCATATGGAACACATGGTCTGATAGGCAGAAAGGCTAAGAGAAATGCAAGTAGAGGGAGGTAATGTTCTTAGGTGTGGTAGACTGGTCTGCAGAGTGTTTTGATTCTCTGAATTAGTCAAAAGATTGAAAAAAAATAGCCACTACTACCACAAGAAAAAAATTAGAAGGAAGGGTCCTGAAAATGGTATCTGAGCAATGAAAGACAGTGAGTATTTCAAAGATCACTGAATTTAATTTATTCAACCTAAATGCATAAAAGTACAGGTGGGGACATTATTTATGCAGGTATATGCAAATCACTTTATAAAATAGGCAAAGCCCTTCTGCTTTTTATAAGTTGCCAAGGTGGTTCCTGATATTTTAAAAGCTATGCACCTTTAATGTAATTTCCTAAGAGTTGGAATCCCTCTGTTGGAATCACAGTCATTGTCAGAGCGAGTTTATTTTTTTTCTTTCCTCTGGGACTTCTACAAGGCTCTCATAACTATCACAAAAAGGGTGGTTTCCACAGAGATGCGACTAGAAAAATCACTTGGAAATCACTGAGGAGCAAGTCACAATGTTCAAAGCAGAGAACAGGGGCTTTGAAAACATGAACCCATCTGACCTCTTGAATTTAGTACAGTGAATTCCTGAGCTCTGAAACATGGGGCCCGGCTGTGCATGCCATATTGGTGCTATAAGACTGGCAGTAGGTTGGCTGTGGCATGGTCTATTTCAAACTCCTTCACAGTGCCCAGTGTTGCATGTTCCCAGATGACATTTGGTTGGCAGAAGCTGGGCTTCCAAAGCTGGCAGTCTGGAATGCAGCCCACTATGTTTTGACAAACACATAATTGACCATCTGATCACCAGCCTACAGTCTGCATTCAGGTCACTGGGGGGACCTGGGCTTTCAATAGGTCTCTACTCCTCATCTTGTTCATCTTCTCAAACCTTTCTCCAGAAAGCAATATAGAGAAGACTTAAACATACCCACACATACCCTCCCATTTGCAAAAGAGGACATGGTCCATGAAACATAAGCTGTTGAAAATTTCCTTTAAATGGTCCTGGCAGCCCAGAGTGAAAAAGAGAAAAGCACATTTATGGTGAACTCTAATTCAGAAAGAAGTAAGAGACATACTGAACTGTTTCAACACCAGCAGTATATACGTTGCCATTCAGCTCAATGGCTTGGAACTTCTTAGAAAAAGACAGCATAGGAAGATGATAGGAAATTGGGTATTGCTTGACTTTAGGGGGATATTATTAAGAAATATTTCGATTTCAGGTGAAAGAAATGAAAAGCAGGACACTGGAAATAGCTTCTTCCTTATCTGCCTGACGCTCCCCCCAAATCTACTGTGGGAGAAGGAGTCGCACCTCTCTGGAGACCAGCAGGCAGCAGCTCAAAGTGAGGTCAAGTTCAAATTCTGGTCTCCTGTAAACCCCTGTAAAGAGTGCTTTGGTTTGAAATGTGGCCCTACACAACACATCAACCTTTCTCCTAGAAGGCAAGCATTGTGCACTAGGCCAAGACATGCCAGCATCACGCAGATGGCCGTGTCTACGTCAGCACTACCAGAGAGCCTGTCCTCTCCATGCCCATCCCCCCACAGTCCAGGCTCTTGGTTTTTCCCTTTGACCTGGTCTCCCTTTTTTCAGTCATCCATTTCTACTGGCCAGAGTGCTCTTTTTCTAAAACATACATCTGCTTAAAATTCTTCAAAGCCTCCTCAAGCCTGCCGCATCAACATCCAAACTCCCTTGCACAGCTTCCAAGACCCTCCGCAATCTGCCCCCTCCCCACTTTCCAGCCTCATCTCCCAGGCTCCCCTTGCAACCACCATGCTCCAGCCACACTGAACTACTGTCCTCCGGAGCTGGCTGCTGCTTGACACCTCTTGGCTTTGAAAAGGCTCTTTCTTTTTTTCATACCATGATCCCCTTTTCTTTCCCTTCCCCTACATTGACTTGGTAAACTGCAGTTCGTTCTGTAGAGTTTTAGACCCAGCTTGCAGGTGGGCACTCCTTTCTTGTTCCTCTTGCTACATCTTGTTTATGCCTCCATTCCAGGGTCCATCATATGCCACGGCCTTTATTTACTACTTATCATCCCTACCAGACTGTGAGGTTCTTAGCAACAGGGAGCATTTCTTATTTATCTTTGAGTTCCAGGAACCGAGCATAGTGACTAGCTTTCCATGAATGTTTGTTGACTGAAAACTGAATAAAGAGCTGTGCATGGTATTAATCAAAACTAAGCCAAGCAGTAGCATTAGCTTCTATAAGCTAAGCATGGAGCCTATTAGCAATCTAATGAAGGCAGAAGATCGCAGCAGTAAGGCACTTTCTGACGGTTATCACGGGATGAAAGGAAGAGTGAGGGATAGAGGGTGTGATGGAGGAATGTCTTGTTAGCAGAGAATGTCACTGAGGCAATGAATTTTCAGTTTTTTCAATACTGAGTTTTCAATACTGAAAGGTATTGTTCTGAAAAAGAATCTGAGCCTGAACTGTAAAGAGGTCTAATTTGTAATAACTTGGTTTCTCAAACAGGCTAAGTCTGTGCTACCTGCTTTAAGGCAGTGGGGCAGGCTACAGAGGGCTCTTCTTTGTTTCTGCTAAAGAGTAATGGGATGGAAAACTCTTGGGGGGAACATTTCGAAGCTATTCAGTTCCCACTGAAATCTGTGTCAAATCCAGATTGGGACTTTGGACTAAATGCAGGGCCAGGGAGAGAAGGCAGAATTCTGCACCTGTCTGGAGAAGGCCATTGAAGAGGTACTAGGAGCTAGAAACACTGGGGAGATAATGTTCTGATCTGTTCCCAAGAAACTTTTCTTTTCCCTTTGATAGGTATCTGGGGCACCACCCCTGGAGCCATCAGCTATGTCTGTGGGGGTACTTGAGGACAGCAGGACTGTCACAGGCCGTGTCACCCTTGAAATAAAAGCAGCCTCAGGGTTTGGAACAACCCAAGCAAGCATGAAGCCTGGCCTGGGGGTGGGACAAGGTTAGTGGGTATAGGAATGAGCTGTCAGCCCATTACAGGTCATTCTCTCAGCCCTGTCTCTGGTTAAAAACTAGGATCTCTCTAGAAGCTGCCTGATTAACGGTTGAGGCAGCATAGAATCAGTTTCACATTTTCCTATGAGCCAGAAACAGCCTTTCAATTACATTTTTATCTCAAAGGTCTCCCCCTCGATTTCTAATCTGTGACACAGGTCTCCAGTCCCCTGTATTGCTTGTGTCTGAGGCTTGCCCTACAGTGCTGACGTCATAATAGCTGAGCCGTGCGGGCAGGAGTGCACTGTGCTGACTCATCCCCGGTGATGTGAGGATTAATGCCTTGTCTAACACGGAGCTATTATGTGAACTGTTTTTACACAAAAGAACTGTAACGAAAATGATTTGCCAGTCGGAGGACTAGAAATATGCAGTGCTAGGTAACTGAAGTAGGGATGTGGAAACATAAAGTGGTAACCATAAGCATGCACACTGACACCCTCCAAAGCATTGACAGACCTGATCTATCAACACAGAGAATAAGGAATAACAAGACTTGTCAGGGGCAGGGAGGATCCACCCCTGCTGTATAAATGCATTACACACAGTCCCCGTCGTCTTTGGGGAGTTTCACCAATCTCCCTTCTCTGTCAAATGGCTGTCTCTTTGGACTTTAGCCTTATGGTCTGTCCTTTGGGGGATTCTGCTCTCCTGAATGTATTTGCAACTATCTTCTAGGAATGTTAGTGGAAGCCACACTCATGCAGGCGAGCCAGGGAACCCCCTTTCTGTGCAAATGATTACCACACAAGAAATACATCAGAGTGAGAAGTCAGTGAAGTAAGACAGATGCTGCGAATAAGGGACAGCGTTCACCAGAGAGCTCAAAGCAGCTGGGAAGATACTGATGATTATTTATCACATAAGGTGACTGCCCCTACCTGTAGCATGTCTCGGGCGGTGTCTCATGTAGTTGAGTGACTAAAATTATTTGGGTTCATTGCTGTAGAATCTCTTACAAGCAGCCCGAGGTAAAACTTACCCAACCCATTCCATGCAGCCTGGTTTGGGCTTTAAAGAACAAATATTCTCTCTTTTCATCTGAAATCAAGTTTCCTCTTTTTTTTTTCCTCCCTTTTTAAATGACTTCCCATCTTTTCTAAAAAAGGACGGTACCTTCTATAGCCCTCTTGGCACACGTAATCCCAGATTTCTCTATCTCTCTCTCTTTTTTTTTTCCTGGACTTGCGATGACAGGCACAATTTTAGCCTAAATGGATCAAGCCTTATAGTTCACGCTTGTACTTCTTGAGTAAAAGAGTATTGGAGATTTCGTCCATAAATGAAAGCTCTGACCCAGAAGTTCAAATTAAAAACTATTGGACCTAGAGATGGGGGTATAACTAAAGAATAAATAATTACCCACTGACTGACAGTGGAGCAAAAGCCTGACTGTTGCGGATATCTGGCTGAAGCATGTAAGCTCTAGTGGAGAGGAGCAGTGACTTCTGCAAACAGCAGCTGTGGCTGAGTAAAAGGCAGTCTTTATAGACATCCAATGCCTGAGGCCCCGGTCTTTTCAGCCCCCTCATGGATGGCAACTACCACCACCACCAATAGCACCGATTCCAAACCCAAAGGAAGCTAATATATAGTGAAGAAGTGCTGGAAACCACAACAAAGTCAACGAGAAAACATGCCAATAAAGATCCGAATTTCCCAAATACGACGCCTTCTTGAAAAGTAAAGAAACCACTTTTACTTACATAAAGAGAAGGGGCAGGCCACAGACTGATGGTCACGGAACTGGAAAAACAAAAACAAAAACAAGGAATTAAAAATAAACCCAGTGATACTGTAGGGAGAAGGAAAACCAATCTAAGTTATAGACAGAACTGGTTGCTCCTGAGGATGGGCAGTAGGAGCCTGTTTTATTACCGTAGCCCGAGAAAAAAAAGAGATCCAGACCCATAAAATTTTCCAAAGGTGTAATCTCCTGCTGTATGACCAACATAGTATTTCCAGGCACGAGGAGTGCCAACCTCTTTCTTTGTAAACTTCATTCTGATCCGAATGATATGGGTATTTTCTTTTTCTTTTTTTTAAAAAAGATTTTATTTATTTATTTGAGAGAGAGAGAATGAGAGAGAGCGAGTACATGAGAGGGGGGAGGGTCAGAGGGAGAAGCAGACTCCCCGCCGAGCAGGGAGCCCGATGCGGGACTTGATCCAGGGACTCCAGGATCATGACCTGAGCCGAAGGCAGTCGCTTAACCAACTGAGCCACCCAGGCGCCCGATATGGGTATTTTCTAGGGCTGTGCTCTTTAATACAGTAGCCACTATCTATACTTACCTATTTAAATTAGTTAAACTTGAATAAAAAAATGAAATGTTTAGTTCCTTAGTCACACTAGCCACGTTTCAAGTGCTCAGGAGCCACCTGTGGTTGGTGGCTGCCTTAGAGGTAGAACATTTCTATCACTGCATAAGTATCTATTGGGCAACACTGACTAGAATAGGTAAAATCTTTACTGTGTAGTACAGGACAAATTTTAACTAATTTTGACAAAGATGAATACAACTCTGATAAACTTTGGCTCTTCTAAGGGTAAATTCAGTATGTTTAATGTCCAGAAGATCCTCTGGACAGATGTAACACCTACATGCATTATCGCCCCTCAGCTGACAACCTGATGCGACGCAGCCTCGTGTTGTCTTGGTGCAGACTGAGGACCATATACCGCCTCCTCTGCCCCTTCTCTCCAGCCTAGGAGTGTCCCCTCCGACAAAATGATTTTAAAGGAAAACATCTGTATCTCTAATGATGAAAACCTCAGGTTTGCAGGGAGTTGATCTTAACAGTTTCTCCTTCTGTATTTCAAATCAGATAATTCTCCTTTGTAATCTTCAACTCACAAGCCAAATGAGCTATGATGGGACTGGCCTGCTCACCACTGTTTTAACAGCTTCTCTTATAGAAAAATAAAACAGAAGTAACAGAAGATCCATGAGAGATTAATAAACCAAACAGGGATACTGAAAAAGCAAAGCAGGTCTCTCTACCCACACCCCACTCAAATATATCAAGGACTTAATATATGCTGATTGAATTCTTGCCTCTCTGACACCATGATTTTAACCACCTAATAGAAGGCTTCCAGAAATATGCAAAACAAACCATACTAAAAGGGATCAAGAAGAAGGATGTAATTATGTAACTTAGCACAGAATAAGGCTAAAGCAAACACAAACAAACCTGTCAAAGAGATTTCACTTCTCAACAAGTTTTCTAGACAAGTGCACTATCATAGAGGTTCCTCCAAAGGAAAAGTTTCCTCTTTATCACCTATGGGAAACCCTGTCCATGCACATGTAAGTGTGAAGGATGGTGTTGTTCCCCTCCTTGAATAAGAAAGAGTTAAGATGAAAATCTGCAGCCTGGATCATAATGTATGCTAACACAAGAGAGGCTGGGAGTCTCCACTGCTTTCATATTTTTTCACAAAATTGATGAAAACTTTGAAAAGTTTAACGAAAACTTTAAGCAATATAATTAGATTATGTATGATTCATTGAAAGTACATGCAAACTTGAACTATATATAAAGATTGACTAGTCTTCAAAGACTTTAAAGTTCTAAGTTTTGCTACATTCTAGTCCCTTCCACAAGCCAGGATCCTAGACCATTGCACCAGTCTATTTTTTAAATCTCTTTCCTTCCTTCCTCCCTCCCTCCCCTCTCCCTTCCTTTCTTCCCAACTTGTCTGAGCTTGCTTTTTTCCCCACCCTTTGGGAAAAAGGAGAAAATGTGATTAGTGGTTATCTATGAAATATGCTCACTTATCATTTCTCTGTTGCACATTATAAACCCAATAACTCTCAATAATACATTACGCTTTTTTAAAACTATACTTAGCATTTGTGTTCTTATATCTGAGCACATAACTTTCCTTTTCAAATTTCAAGGAGCATTTATTCATAAAAGTTAATCAGTCAAAGTTAAATTTTTGATGTGATCAAAAGAGATCAATGTAAATTGTACCCAGATTGACTAATACATCCAAGGTCTGGAATGAAGAAGAAATATCTTTTCTGGATGTCAAGTGGTGACACACAGGCTGTCAATGACAGGAATCCAAGATGGAGAGAAAAATCACAGTGTGTATGTCACAGTCTAAGACAAATTAAAGCCAAGTTAAATTGAAGATTTTATTGGATATAATTGTCTTTATATATTAATGAAAAACAATAATACCTATCCCAAATTTAATATTAAGGCTAAAAATTTAATCTCAGAGTTCTTATACAATTTATAAATGTTCATAAACGTCAAAAGGCCCCTACTTCTTGATTGAATTACAATCTGCAATTTTGAGAATATGTATTAATCTACATAGGTTTATTCCTCCTCAGTTCAAATTGTTATTTTATTGATATGTGTGCCCTTTCCGCCTGATATTCACCTTATATGTCTGTAAGTTGTTTTCATCTGAAATGCAAAGAATTATCTATGATAGTTTTGCATACGATGAAAAACATTTGCATTTAGCATGCTAGGCTCAAAGCATAAATATCTAGCAAAGAATATATAACTATAAAGCCCAAATGAATCAGGACCTTAAAACATGGTGGGGAGGCAAGAGTAGTGGGGGGGGAAGGGGTGGTTTATGGTGAAGTCTAATTGTGTTCTGTGATTTCCCAGTAGAAATTATTGTATAGTATCAATTTCTAAGGAACCAAATGTATTATTAATTAAATGTATTATTAATAAAGATTAGTCAATTCTGATTTCAGTTTATGTAATGTTCAAGGGCAATGGTTTCCAACATTTTGAGGTGATACAGATCCCTATGAGAGTCCCTCCCCCAAAAAACTTCTTAAAAACACCAAGTTTCAAGAATCTTCCAGACTCCATGAAGGTCATCCATGAATTCCAGTTTAGCCACCCTTGGCCTAGGGGAGAGGGGAGAAAATGCCCATGCAATCCCACTGCTTATCACCTCTAGGAAGCTGAACAAGTCACTAGGACCTGGAGCCAGGAGCAAACAAACGTATAGGAAATAGAGCTCTACATGGGTGTGTGTGGCTAGAGACATACAGACTCCTCTAAAGGCCTCCCAGACTCTGACTTACCTAGTTCTTTACAAGTTCTTTTTTTAAAAAAAGTCCACAGAGGCTTAGGAACAGTGAAGAAGAGGAGTAGTGAGCAGAGAAATGAGAGGAGTTGCTATTTACTCAGCACCTTCTGTGGCTGCAGGCATCCTGCTAAGTAAATGCTTCTCAAATTTGAATGTGGATATACCCAGGGATGTGGAGCAATGTTAACAGGAGCGCACCAGGCTACAGAATACATAATAAAGACATGGCTGTCTTCTTGGAGGGTCAGTTGTCCTTGTGGCTAAGTAGTTTAAACTCTTATTTGTACATACATTTATTTATCTGATAACTATTTCTTGGATGTTATAGAAGAAATAAAACAGCCACTGTTCTCGTCCTCATGGAACTTCTGGTTCGGTGAAACAAGTAAGAGCATATTGAGGAATAGAATGCAAAATGTGCATGTATCTGTAGGATGAACCCTGAGACCTCACTGAAAAGTCTCATGTGTGGCAGACTGCTTCAGGCAATGGCCCGCACCCTGAGGACTGACTGGATCACTCACTCTAACCTGAGGATCACCTACGCGGAAGAGTTTGAAAAGCAGCATTAGCAGTAGATCATTTCATCCTGACTAGAAGAGCAAATACTGTTAATTTCCAATTTACTATAGAACAAGGGAGATTTGAGAAATTAGGAAACTTACCCCAAATCCCACAGCTGCTGGGATCTGAATAAGTTTGTACCATTCCAAAGTCTACATATTTTTAACCACTAAATTACACTACATCTAGGTATTTCCCATTTTATGTTTCCCCTTGAAATGAGGGCTCATTCAGGATTTTGTAGGCTAGTTTAAGCTTCTCCTTTGGAAGGAGACAGGTTTGGCTTGATTTGTATTCTAAATATTTCACAGTGCTAAGGGAAAGCTATTATTATACCCATTTTATGGTGCGGAAGCTGAGCCACTTGCCAGCCGAGGTATCTGGCTGAGTTAAAAACGGAATCGGGTTGTCAGTCTTTCATTCCTCTTGACTGACTGAAGCCTAGGCAGCAGTACTGTCCAAGGGCTTTTTAGTACATGGGATTCACACTGGTGGAGAAAGAGTGAGAGAAACTTTGCAAAGGGAAAATAATAGTGCAATACAAAAATGGAAAATAAGTAATCATAACTCACTCACAAAAATTGGTTACTTTTAGCACTGTGAATAGAAAAGAGAGAGCTTATTCATCACAAATGAATCAGAAAATTAGAATGTGTCACAGCATTGATGATAGAGCTGAGGAATTCAGATGAACTGAAGTTCAACACTTATCCTTCTATCTGAAGAGGGTAAATGGTGTGACAACAGGGCAGAAATGACCTCTTACATGCGCCTTTAATCTTTCCAATCTTTTCTCTTCAACCCTCTCTCTAGAAGTTAGGTGGGTTTATATCTTTGTTTTCTATGGGTAGAGATAACATTTTAACATCCTTTTAATGTTCTAGAAGTATTGTGTTAATTAATTCTTATGTGGGAGTCATTCCCAATAGTAGGATGAAGATTTTTACCTTATTGATTTTCCTAATACCTTTCTGGCTTCCGTGTTTTCAAAGGCTGAGGCACTATTGGATTTTTAGATTCATATGTCTCTCAGAATAAGTGCCAGCTTCATAGGTTCCTGTCAATTGATATTCCATCTTTTCTATGGATACATGATTTCCTTT